TTCCCTTCTGCCTGCAGATTTGAACAGAAAGACTCGTAGTTCTTGGGGCTGGAGTCTGCTGACCTTCAGACTGGAGCCAAACACTCCTCTCACCCGGGTCTACAGCAGGACTTCCTCAACTCCCTAGTCTCCAAAACGTAGAGTAGATCTCTCCCTTCACCCCATGCACGCGTGCACGTCATATGTAGTCATATTATGATATATCCTATCTGCATAGACATATTTATTTATAATATTTTATAATATAATATACAATATTAAATATTATTTATAATACAGATATATCCTATGTCTAAATATCTGGAATGCTTTTCTTTTCTTTTTTTTCTGTTTTCTTTTTCTTTTTTTTTTTTTTTGGTTTTTACGAGACAGGGTTTCTCTGTATTGTTTTGGAGGCTGTCGGTCCAGCCTGGCCTTGAACTCACAGCGATCCTCCTGCCTCTGCCTCCCGAGTGCTGGGATTAAAGGCATGTGCCACCACCGCCCGGCCTGGAATGCTTTTCTATAAACTTCCTAACACACACACATTCTCTCTCTCTCTGTCTCTCTGTCTCTCTGTCTCTCTGTCTCTCTCTGTGTCTGTCTCTCTCCTGTTTGGTTGCTGTTGCTGGGATAAAACATCATGGACAAAAACAGTTCACAAAGGAAAGGATTGCACCGTCACTAAGGGAAGCGTGGACAGGACCCTAGAGTCAGGAAATGAAGCGCAGACGGTGGAAGAGCGCGTCTTACTGGCTCACTCAGCCCACTTTCATACACAGCCTAAAGCTAGCAGTGGCACACAGAAGTGGACTGGGTCACCTCACATCCATCATCAGTCAGAACAATGACCCACAGTCTTGCCCACAGGTAGGAAGCGTTTATCAGTTGAGACGTTCTCTCCCCTGATGACCCTAATGTGTGTCAATCTGATTAAAAAAAAAAAAGTAACCAGCACAATTACCCTTGTTTTTCATGGATCACTCTGCTTGATTTAAAAAGAAAATTGAAACCCAGGACCACCTGCTCGGGAGTGGCAGCATCCCCCAGTCAACTGGGCAGTCCTGCATCAATCCTTAATTAAGAAAACACCCCTTCAGGCTTGCCTATAGGCCAATATGATAGAGGTTCCCTCTCCCAAGATAACCCCAGCTAGTGTCAAGTTGACAAAAAACCATCACACACACACACACACACACACACACACACACACACACACACACACACTTTCCATGTATTTTCTCGTCCTCTGTCTCCTGCTCTGCCCCTGAGATCTCTAGGCAGCGTATTGATGTATTAAGACTACTCTCCTTCTGTGCTCTTCCACATGTCTAATTTTTCAATAATGAGAATGTATAATTATCCATTTTTTAAAATGCATGTTATTAAAGGTTTATCATGACCAATGGAATGGATTATGTCCTCATATCACGGTGCCTGTGTTTCAGAGCAATGCTTCTTCTCAAACTTAGAGTCCATGAACACGACCTGGAAAGCTGTTAGTATTGGTCCCTGAGCTGCCCTCCCCACAGCTGCCGGCTCAGGGGGTCCTGGCATAAGCCAGGGCCTGCATTCCCCACCACCTAGTGGGTGGTGCTTAGGCTGCAAGTCCTCAAACCTTGCTGTGAGCAACAGCACCTAGGGTTACTAGAATAGTGACCGAAGCCCCTTACTAGGGAACTGTCACTTAAGCCCTTGCCGTGTTCACGATCAGTTCAGCATTTTAATAGACCCTGCAGCTGTCTTCCTGCCTTGCTCTCTCACTCAGCTGAAAAAGCCCGGAGGCAGTGTCACAACTTTTGTATCTCTCTTCATTATCCCAGGAACCTTTCCTATAATAGAATTTTAGAAATGTTTATAGAATCAACTGTTTATCTTTGTTCTGGTTTCCCAAGCCATTTGAAGGCAGCAGGCTGCCCTGATTTTCCACGCGGTAGGGCAGATGCAGGATTAACACAATGGGACGCTGTCTGATAAGTCTCTTCTGTCCTGCCCTGTGAATTTAATTTTATATAAGCTCAGTTGTAATTCTCCTTGGGAAAGTTAGAGTCAAGAACCTGAATGCTTCAGACCCCCTTGTGACATGAAAGCTTTGTCTATTGAACGTTGCCAATCTTGAGGGACATTGAGTTTTCCTAATTTGCATTTCCAGACGAGTGAATGTATGCGACCCTGTAGACAAAACGCCTGAATGCTAAACTCATCTTTTTTTTCAGTTTTGACCCAGATATGTGATATTGGACAAAAATACCCTAGGGTTTGAAGTGTATAATATTGACTGTATTTGTCAACTTCTTGAACATGATAACCTGGCAAGATTTATGAGAAAGAATGAAGAATGTTACAACTTTATACATTTTCATTTTCAAGTCTGTTGTTATATTCCCCTTCCACTACATTCTGCCATGTCACGGAAGCCTAGCTTTGTTTTTTCATATTGTTTGTGATGCTATTTTATTATTGATTGACGGTATCCTACTGCATTAGTGTGAGTCTTTCTGGCATTCAGATTGGAAATCTAACACCTGTCTTCTCCTTTCTCTGCCCTCCCAATTTTCAAGCTCTGTCATTACATTCTCTATTGTGGATCATCTTGTCACCATCTCATAACAGAAATTCAGTTAATTTGCATATGCATTTACTTGTCTTTATTAATGGGGAGAAGACCAAGTGATTAATGAATGGTATTCCCCATTTTCTAAAAGGAGTATTGACATTTAAAAATATTTCATATTCAAAGTATTAAAATAGACATTAGTAAGAAAAATGCACTTATGGCAGTTTTGCATTATTAAAAGTGTTCTTTCATAAAGTAATTCAGGTTTCCGATGGACATTTCAGAGTTTAGAAGTTGATAACTTTAAAAAAAAATCAGTCAGATTGCTATCACCACTGGTAATTGATGTCATTCTCCCCACTGTGGTGACCTGCAGCTGAACACTTGGATTTTTGCAGTTTACATTTTGTTCATGAGGAAAAATCTGTATTGGAGCCCCCTCACAGTATCTGCATCAAAGTTTGTAATTATTAATGTCTGATTACTCAATCTTTCCAAATTGGTAAGTGGATTTTAGTGAGTGAATTTTTACTCTTTAAAGTTGAAAATAATAACGAGCCCACTTTTGCTTTGGTATAGTGTAAAGAGAAGCCTTTTTCTTGAGAGAAGCCTTCCCGCCAGCCTGGTTCCAGAGCTGCATCAGTCCCAAATAAATACACAGGAGGCTATATTAATTATGAAGCTGTTGGCCTTGCTTGTTTCTTAACTAGCTATCTCTGACTTAAGTAATTACCCCATAATTGTTAACCTATGTATTTCTCTTACCTGAGAGGTTTCCGGGCTTCCGACCCCATGGCGTTACATCTCGACTCTCTGTCTTTCTCCTTTCCAGAGTTCTCCTGAATGCCTAGTCCCACCTATCTAGATTCCTATTGGCCCAACAGTGCTTTATTGACAAATGCACAGGACTTCCCCCCAACAGTGTAGACTTGTGTATTTCCTTGTGTTATCCATCTCTTAACATGATCTTTAATGATTATATGGCTTCATTGTATGAACCTATTATTCATTATTCCTCTATTGAATGAAATGTGCAATGTTAACAATTTTTGCTTTTGTGAAATACACTGAAAAAGCCCCACATCTCTATGTGCTCATATTTATAGGCTTGACTGCTGTGAATGGAATAAGTCAATGTCAGGCCTCACCTGAACTGCTCTACAGGGCCCCAGGGGTGATATATCTTACACAAATGATGTTCACAGGAGGCTACACCCAAACTCCTGACCTCAGAACAGCAGAGACAGGGACTACAAAGATGTTGACAATCATTGATAAAATGTCTAAATTGCCTTCGAGAAAAACTATCTCAATTTACATTCAGTCTGAGACTTACCATGTATGTATCAAAACTAACAATTAGAATATATCTTTAAATTCACATTTACTAAACACAGATGGTATCTAAGTGCTGTATTAATTTGGATGCTTGATTACTCATGAGACTCAAGTTTTTGTAATTGTTTATATTTTTTAGCCCACAACCACACTTGGCATTGTTCTTATGAGATCTTATTCTTCTTGATGCTACTATCATCTCATTATTTTATTTTATTTTATTTTGAGGCAGTGTCTCATACAGCACTGTCTAGCTTGGAACTCTCTATATAGATCAGGTTGGCCTCCAACTCACAGAGATCCACCTGCTTCCTGCATGCTGAGATTCAAGGTGTGTGTACAATATCATGCTTGATCTGTTCTATCATTTAAAACTTAAGTCTAGGAAGTATGTGGGAGTTGTAGATCATGTCTTATAAAGAACACCAAACATCAGGGTCTGAATTTGAGCCCAGAACTCACTTTAGAGTCTGATCTCTTAATCAGTCACCATTGGGCCCCTTAATTGGTATTCCATTGTTCTTATTGGTTTGTAATGACTCTTTACATATGGTAACTATAGCAACATAATGGTCAAGGTTTTAGCAAAGATATCTTTTTTTAGACTCATTATTTGCTTTAACATTTTAAATCTTCTAACAATTTATTTGAATTCTTTTTACAGTCAAACAATTAGCTCCTTAAAAGGATTTCAAATTCACCCATGATATTTTAAAAAGTTTACCATGAAATATTTCCTTTTCTAGTGAAAAGATAACCTTGGAGAAACAGATTGCCTTCAGAATAGTAAGAATGGAAGCACATAGAAGCACATGTATGGCCTTCTAAAGACAATTTCCACTGTCAGAAAGTAAATTAAGAAAGTAATATAAATAACAGAAGACCCATCACTTACTTAACACTGAATTATTTTAACGCTTTCAAAACAGGATGGGCATTAGATCAAGTTGGTAGCACTTAAGGTAATTTCCCACCTTATTGTATTGAAGTCTGAGGAAACCTCTCAGGGGTCCATTCTCTCCTGCCACCTTGTGAAAGCTAGGAATTAGATGCAGGTCTTCAGGCATACCAGTGCCTCTGCCCACTAAGCCAGCTTATTAGCCTCGAATATAGTTTATTTTTCCCCCAGGGGAGAGCGTGAAAGCAGTTCCCCACTAACACAAATTTTGCAGTCGAGCTTCCCCGCATTTGGGGAAATTGCAGAGGTCAGCACATCTGGAGTGCAAAGGATAAGCCTCACCCTGGGGAAACCTGTGTTGAGTCTGGCTCATGAGTTCGTAAGCATGCGAGGTTGTATAATCAATCCCTCTTGTTCCATAAAACCCAGAGCTTCAGGCATTGTGTCCTGGATGTCCTTCTTGACTCAGGTGCAGAGGGTGTGTGTGTGGGGTGTGTGTGGCGGGGAGGCTGACACTGACAAGAAAAACAATGAAGAGAGCAAACTTCCTTAAGAATTTTGGGGCCAGGGTTGGTTCTTCAGGGTGGTGATTATGGAACTCTCTGTGAAGGCCTAGAACTCTCTAAGGAGTCTCCCAGGTGGCAATGCCACTTAGCACAGGCAAGCCTCCTGCACACACCTGTCGAAAGAAAACAGGTACTGTGGTCAAAGGGACCCTCCGTCTGTAAGTACACAGCACACGTTTCAAAGATCCTCTCCTACTTTAACACTGTAGAAAACCAGGTCATCAGGAGACCACCAAGTCATGCCTGTGGAGGTGAAGGTTCCTGTCGGGTTTGGCAGGCAAGGTCCCTAATATATTACTGTTTGTTTATGTTGTTTTGCTGTAAATGGTATACTCTTTACCCTAATCCACTCATGCCAGGTACTCATTCAGAGACAGCTACAGCACAGTCCCTGGGGATACAACAGCAAAGTCTGAAGGAGACACCCCTTCCCCGCAAGTGGGGGGGGTTCACTCCCGGACCCTGGATTAGGCACAAACCACACCCAAACACCTGTTTTTACAGAGACCCTTTATTAAACTGGGAAAAGTTAAAGTAGCTGCTTTCTGACTCTGGCGGGAAAGCAGCAGCAAATAACCTCGCAGGTGTAATTTTTAAGAAGAGAAAAAAGGGTGTGTTGGAGCGGGCTAGGATGCAGATGTATATTTTTATTGGACATGTTAATTAGCTGAACCAAAGGGGGCTTTTGATTGCTGGACATTGGTAGTCATCCTCAGGAATGGCATAAGAATGTGTCCAAGTAAAGGAACAGACCTCAATGGCTAGTTCTAAGAATGCAATCTAATGGTTTTTTAGCAAGACAGAGGGAGTAGGAGAAAAGGGCCTGCGAGAGCCATGTTTATCTCCCTAGGGCCGTCCAGAGTCCCTTCAATGTCCTCTCCTGAGGAGCTTAACTGGCCTGTAGGAGACACGTTGTTGTTGTTTTTAAGTGGGTTAGATGTTGGTAAATGTGCACACAGATAAAATCTCCCACCAGAGGAGAGAAAAGATGGCAGCCACTGCGGGCACCTCATGACCTTGGAGCCACTCTGGGGAGCCCAAGAGACCCCAGGAGGCTTTGAGGGAAGACCTGGCAACGTGACACTTGAAAAAGAGATGGCAGAGGAGAGAAGGGAAACTGGGGTTGTAGCACTGGCAACGGTTATGGCATCATGGGCCATGGGGACAAAAGAGCGTGTCTTTGAGGAGTAAGGCTGGTCCTTGGGGGGCCAGGAGGCGAGGCCTGCAGCTTGAAGTCACCATGGCTGAAGCTCCTGATGTTCTCCCTACTGGGGAGAGGAGAACTCGGGCCTTGGCACTGCCTGTGGGCTTCAAGCCCAATGGTTGTGCCCTGTGAACCGGCACAGAGGGAAGGCAGGTATGCAGGGCCTGGAGCTCGTTTGGATCCTGCCTCCCCTCACCCCAACTTCCACCGCCCTGCAGCAAGATCACTCTGACTCTGGGCAAGAACAGGATTTCCTAGATGAGTCTCAGGGACAGTCCAGTATTTATGGTGCTTCAGAAACCAGAACCAATGACTCGTCGTATGTAAAGCTGTTGAGCAAATCCATCCATCCATGCATGCATATATATATATATATATGGTGTGACACGCAGCAGTTTGCTATGCCATTATGCACAACGGAGAGGTGGGTAAGATGGCAGGACAGAGCATCACGCAAGCAACCAAAAGTGGTGGAACCAGAGACGCCGTTGCAGAGGCGACAGGCATGGGAACATGGCTGCAGTGGACAAAGGAGCATGGGATGGGACATTACATTGTCCTATAATGGCTCTAGATGTGACTCCATCATTTCTTCTTCCCAAGCCTCATGGGCCCTCTTTAATTTAAGGAGTCTTTTTTTTCCAGATTCAGAAAGTAGCCACTCCCTCTGTGAGCATTGCCTGCTCCCTCCTGTCAACCCTCAGTGAAGAGAGCCTGCTCTCTGCCATCAACCCTCAGTGAGGAGAGCCTGCTCTCTCCCGTCAACCCTCAGTGAGGAGAGCCTCTCCTTCGCCCTTTCCCTCCCGTGCTCACTATTCACCTTCCTCTGCCCTCTACTCCACTGTTTTCCTGATGGTTTCCCAGGAGTAAAATGAGATACAACATTTTCATCTCCAGAATGTGGTTGTTTTTAGGTCTGAAAATAAGAGTTGCACCATGACACCACAGTGACTGGCATGTTGCCGGGCAGCAGGAATTGTTCTGTTTCGTTCTAACCCATGGGAACATTGCTGTATGCTGCCCATCATTTACCGGAATGTCCTGATTGAGCAGTCACTATGAAAGTACCACCTGTTGCTCCATAAGCAGTGTTGGGGGCGGGGAACAAATCATACATACCTGTACCAGTTAGTTGTTTTGTCACCTGCAACAGCAGGTCATCTGGGACGGGAACTCCAACTGAGAAATTGCCTTCATTGCACTGGCCTATAAACAAGTCTATGAGGCATTCTCTCAGTTAATGATTGATGTGGGAGGGCCCGGCACATCTGGGACAGGTAGTGCTGGGTTGAAAAAGGAAGTAGGTTGAACGAGTCCGTGGGAGGTAAGCAGATAAGCAGCATTCTTTCACGGTCTCAGCTTCCATTCCTGTCCTGGCTTTCCTAGAGGAGGGACTTTACTCTATAAGCCATAGAAACCCTTCCCTCCTCCCAGGCTGATTTGGATCAGCACAGAGAAGACAGGACAGCTTCTGAGGGTGAGCCTGGGCTCAAGGCCACAGCACCAGGCGGCAGTTTCCCAGTGATGCTGGCTGAGGGCTCACACACTTTTACTCTTTGGTCCTGCTTAGTTTTCTGGTCTTAGAGAACTACATTTACTAAATTCATGCTCGAATGTAGTTGAAGTTAACAGGAAGTATTTTAAATACTGCCAGAGTCAGCATGTTTAGATGATGCGTGCGGTAGGGAAAGGGTTCTGCCAGCTAGGGAGTTATATGGTTAGAAGTAGAAGTTGAGAGTGTCTTGCAGTGTTAAAGTTGTGATGTTTCAGTTCTTTCCTTATTAATATCAATGACTCTTGAAACTCTTGATGACATAGCGGTGTAAGTCAAAACCAATGGTTAACATGAAATGAATAGTTTAAAATGCCTTCTGTTAATGTAAAAATTGATTTTTTTTACTAATCTTTACTTAAACACTCTTGAATAGAGTCTAGAAGTTCAATTTATCTGAAGGGTGTGAATATGAATAATTTAAACCTAATTTTCAAACTTCAAGGAAAAAGAAACTGATTCTAGTGACTTTCTGAATTCAATAGCTTGGGGCAGGCTTTAGCAAAATAAATATGGTCAATGATAACTGGATACCAGAATACTGACAGGGGAGACAAACATATTATCATGAAAACATCCTCAGGCAAACTTTAGAGACTAACACTACCCAACCAAGAGTTAGCCTAGACTTAGCAACCTGGAGATACAAGGACCACAAGTCATTTAGTTGCACGCAACTAACACAAGTCTGCCAAGAGCTCCACACAGTACCCTCTTGATCTCAGTGGGCTGGGGCCTGGAGTGGAGAGGACTTGAGTTTAAATGGTCCACAGTAAGATGCCACATTGAAGGAAGAACGATTGTAACAAGCTTCCCAGATAAAATCTAAGTCATTCATGGTTCGTTTATGTAGTGAGGCAATTCGGGCATATAATGTGGTCCAGCTGCCTCCTTCCTCCTGTGTCTCATGAGTGCCCCTCCTCTGCAGCTTACAAACCCAAGCGGAGCCCTCTGTTTGTTGAGGGGGCCAATCTTTCTAGGGACAGTCACTTTGTCCTTTGCAACCAGGGATCTGGAAAATGGAAGCTGCACTTCAAGGCAGGTTTTAGATTCCCTTTTCAGGGGACTAATGTTATGAGATGTTGGGGGGCTACAGGTTTAACCCTCCATGACTTTGATGTCACATAGATTGGACAGATAAAGCAGTTCTTATTGACAAAATAAAATTGCATTATTTAGAGACACACTGGTAGTTTCTTAATTATGTCATGAGTCTAGGTTAAGTGTACAATAAATGTCAAGCTTAAGTATCTCCTGGAAGGTATTCAGTGTATGGGATTGGATTACATAGTGTCTCTTAAGGCTTTAGAATTTATCTCCTTGGTTCAGCTGTGAAAGAAATTTCTGGCCCTCACACTGTACACAGAAGATCCTTGGTTTTGTTTTTGTTTGCTTGTCTTTGATTTTTTTTTTATTTTTGTATTGTAGATTAGGGTTGAATCGAGGAAAATTCTGGGTCGAACTGCCCCCTCTGAGATTGCCACCCCTTTGGTTGATTTAGAGAGTGATGTCCTTTCTTCTGAAAAGCCACCGTGATAGTACCAAACTGGCGAACTGTCTGTCATGCATGACATCGGTGCTATGCTTGCTGCATCCCACAGAGAGCCAAGCCCACTCGGCAGTTTGCTCTGCAGTCCTGTACACTGCCTGGGTAGCCAAAGTGCTTTGGTTTCCTGGGGGTCGTGGGGAAGCGTGCCTTAGGAAACGGAGCAGTTGGTGCTAGAGCCACTAAGAAGTGGTGCATCTGGAATCGGTAGTGGGGACCGCCTGTCTGAGAGTCTGGACCGGATGCACGAGCGGCTGTTTCCTGCTGCAGCGCTTTTCATCTTGATTGACGCACCTCGCAAACAGCCATTTAAGAGAAAGCCTGGCTGTGACTGTTAGAGAAATGGATCACCGGAGTCGTAGACCAGCCCAGTTACATTCGCTGAGATTAAATGTCCCAGAAACTCACTCAGATGTATTCCACGGAGTTGAGAAATGAAATTACTAGATATCCATGTCACATGATAGTTGGCCATTCTTCAAAATACAAAATTAGTCTACAAAACATAACACGGTAGCCTTTCCTTCAAAT